AATTTTAGTTAAATCTTTATTATCCTGATATTTTGGATAGCTAAACAACATGTCGCTAACTTCATTCAAAGAGAGACTTTTCATGCGTCCCCCGTAGGCGATAGTTCCGCATACGTTTGAATTAGGCGCAGACTAAACGCAGGATTGCCAACACAGCAAATGGTAAACGAATGGCAAATGGTCAACACAGAAAGTGGGGATGGAGATTAAATATTTTCGCACCATTCAAAATAATTCCAAGCGTTGTTCTTGTTTTTTCAGTTACCTAATTCACTGAAACATCACGATTTAAGCAAACATTGATTTTGGTTATTTATTTCTGAGATTGGTGCAAGGGTGTCGTGTCGAAGGTGCTGCTGCTGCGGTTTGGAAACGAAACTGACACCGACAGCCGACCCGCCAACCCCATTGTTATTGTTTACTGACTGCATTGCAGACAGACAGACGACGAAGAAGTGTCACATCATTGTCTTCTCTTTCGTCTCTCTTTCCGCTGATGATTGTTGTGTGTTCACTTTTAGTAACAACAAAGTAACCTTGAGGTATACCTCATACTATGTTAAACATCGCTGAATCAGATGTGTTTAAATGGTATGAGAGTATGAAGTCTTCCAACAATTTCGAACGATGGATGGGTGATCTTCCAGACTCTCTGAAATGCATCCCAATCAATCACCTGGCGATTCCAGGTACGAAGGTCACTTTCCTCTTGAATCGCACCGCTTGATGTCTATCTCAATGATTTTTCACTTGACACATACACTTAAGACTTGTAAAACAAATCTTGAACATCTTTGTTGCATGCAGGGACTCACGATTCAATGAGTTGTGGTATATCAAGATCATCTGGGATCTCACCAGATTCTACAGCAGTGGTTAAGGCTTTAGGAAAACTCTTTGGACCTGTTGTGAGACCTTTTGTTTTCAAGTGGTGTGTTACACAGCATAGAACAGCAGAAGAACAACTTCTATCAGGAATCAGGTGATTATTTTGTAAGAAAATTACATTTAGGTTGATAGTAGATGTTCCTTACCATTTGCCCCCACATAAGTAAGTTCTGTTTGAAAATTGTTTTCTATCAGGTACTTTGATCTGAGAATTGCGGTCCACAAGCCGAGTGGCACCTTACAGTTTGTTCATGGGATGTATGCAGAAGAGATAATTCACCCATTCAGTGTTATAAAGAATTTCTTAAGTAGCCATGAGCAGGAGATAGTGGTTCTTGACATTCAACATTTTTATGATTTTACTTCCATTTATCACAAACAGCTTCAGGTAAATTTATTCATGGAAAGTATATTCTGTTCGTTATCTTTCTAATTTTTTATATTACTATATTATAAATGATTGTTTCAGAACTTCCTGCTTGATCACTTTGGAAACATGTTGTGTCCTTTACCAAAATGTGGGGATGTTTCTAATATTTCTCTCAGATGGATGACGGATAATGGATATCAAGTAATTCTCATTTACCGTAGTCCAACAGATAATGAAGATTTGCGACTGTGGCCAAGTAAATTTTGGCCCACACCCTGGCCACAGACTACGTCTGTTCAAAACATGATTTCATTCTTAAAACGAGGTCTTGCTCACCGCTCTTCTTTTACTGGTAAGACAATTATTTTCAAAATTGGAAAGTCATTTGTTATTTGTATTTGAAATATGATAATTTTATTCAATTGCAGGGTATGTCACTCAGTGTGTACTGACACCTACTCCCTGGTTTGTTGTGCAGCATCCCCTTTCAAATCTTCTCAATAGATGTGCTGCTCCTTGCAATTATGCCATTATTTCTTGGCTGGAACAGCAGCACCCTGGGGGAAAAGGTGTTAATGTTGTAATTACAGACTACTTTGACTTTGATCCGTCCAAATTTCCATTTGTCAAAACAGTTGTATTGTTGAACCGCAAGCTTGTTCACAACAAAACTATCCAGGGGGGTAACGACATAGATTTCATGTTTGTTGATGCATATTCTCAACCTTAAGGTTGTAAATTAAATTTTATTTTTTTATTTTCCTCTATTACTAGATGTTTTTGATGGAGGGCAAGGCTAGTCTCTTAAGGGGGCAAACTCTCGTCGGGGGTTCCTGGCACCCCTTCAGTCTCTTACAAAGAATGCCTGTTTGGGAGTTTTTTTTAAATTTTACTGTTTGACTAATTTCCTTTATATTCATTCAAAATTACCTGTGAAAAGAAGATACTCTCTTTTGCATTCCTAGTAATGATCATAAACAGTGTGAATCTTTCACAAATTTGAAGTTGTTTTAAAAATAAATTGTGGCAGATAAAAATTATAATTTTAAGCAGCTTTATTTTAGACTTTTATGAAAGAACTGAGTTTTTTGTTTTGCTTCTGTGTAACTTGTGTATCTTACTGTTACTGTGTAACTTACATTGTATGTAGTTATGCAGAACATATGTGAAGCATAAAGGAAACTGTGAATATCAGTTTTACGTAATCATGTGTTTTGATTACATTTGAGTTCCTTTGCATTCCTTAGTGAGTAGAGCTAGTCTCGCCATTTAATTTTGGCAAAGCTTTTTATTTTTGGAACTGTTATGGGTAATGTTGACATTACTCCTTATATATTTACATATATATTTATTTTATGATCTAGCCTTTGTTTATCTTTGTTGTCTACTCAAGACAGGGGCTTTTAGGTAGTAGCCCACTCTCACCAAGCACCTTCATTGTTGCACTAAAGTTAGCCCCTCCACATGTGTTTTGTTGGGTCTTGGCGCCATGGCTGTGATTTATCATCATAAAACTTAGGTTTTGAAATAGTGCTCTCTAGCTCATTTTTTTAAAAATGTCTTCTGGTGATGTATACATTTATTTTCTTTCATGATCTCAGTGCAGTATCATAAATATTATGGATGAAGTGCCTTCACATTTTGCCGTTGTAATCAATATAAATCTATTTGTCAATAGGAGTGTATGATTCTTTTGTTTTTTACTTTAGTACATAATAGCACCCTGCTAGAACTATTTCTTCAGTGGAAGGAGAGGAAAAGCACAACTTGACTTCGAACTAAACCTTGGCCAAAAACTTTTATTTCAATAATGAACAAGTCTTGAGGTCAACAAATTAATCTTTATCAATTATATCTGTTAAAATCTTAGATCTTTTAACAAACTTGGTCACATTTTTTGTAGGTTTAATTATATCTTTCTGAGACATGTATGGCCGCAATACTGGGGGGATCCTTATGCATCCGTCTTCTTGCTGATGAGTTTCACATATTGCCATGATTAAGCGAGGAATAGCGCAAGCAGTACCATTAACAGTGTGCACAAATTCCTTCAGTGATGAATTTTTTGTAGTATATTGAATGTTCAGTCTTCTGGATTGATAGTCTGTGCAATTACTGCAACTAGAAACCTCTCCGAATTCCCTCCGGCTAGGCAACCACGCTTCTATGTCGTACCTATAAAACAAGTTAATTTTTTAAAATTATGTTTTGTGATGTTTCAAGCAAAACATTACTGAGAAGTATAAGTGAAGAATCATCACTTTAAGTCATACTTTCTGTGAGCAGGAGCCCCTAATTCATGAGGAGGCATATCAAGCACCTGTAAATATAAATTAAGTGAACTGAAAATTTCTTCTTGTATTGACCGGAACTCTTCAAGGAGATCTTCAGATTGATGACTAGTTGATGCTCCGAACATTTCAACTTTTGTGAACTGGTGGACCCTAGAGGAAAACGGTGGGGTGTTGGGCATTAGGCATACATGTGATATGTAGTATTTTATTTATCCATCTAATATAATATGATAATAACAAGCATTTCAAAGCTAATTGGGTATGGCAGAAAGATATCTTACCTATAGAGTCCCCTTTCGGAAGCTATAGGGGCAGTTTCTGCTCGGTAGCATCTGCTCACTGCAACATATCTTTTAGGGAGGTTTTCATCAGCAAATATCTGGTTCATGAGAAATCCACCCAAAGCCATTTCAGCTGTTCCTGAGAGACAAAGTTCCCCCTCTGCTGCACTTGCTAAGTGTTTATCACCATCCAAACGGTACACCTATGAAACAGGAAATAATTATTAGCTATAGTTATAGCATAGTGAATTATGTGAAGCTTCGAGTGTGAAACTTACAATGCTTCTTTGTCCACTTGTTGGTATACCACAACATTCAATTATTTGATGATGCAAAATGTCAGGTACAGATATCAAAGAAAAACCATTCTTTACAAGCCGTTGAACAACATAACGAATAAGGGCATGTTCTAGATCAGCAAGTTCCCTGCATAAGTAATATGCTTTGTGCCCAGCCAAAGGAGCTAGTTCTTTCATGCGATATTGATTTGTCCCTTCCATAAGTTTGTCAAATGGCTTGGGATCAAAGCCAAACTCAGGGAGAGTTCCAATATGTTTTATAACTTTAGCATCATTACCATAGCTTTGGGGTTCTGGATGAGTATCATTAGGAATTTTTAATGCTTCTTGAACTAATTCTCTTCTCAAAGTTTCATTGGTTTTGACTTTGAGCTCATTATTCAGTTCAATGATACGCTGAATATTTCCAATACCTTTACGAATTTTAATGTTCTTATTGAAATGTTCAGTTTTACTGGGATCACAGTATCTAGCAATATCTAGCTGAGGTTCTGGTATCTTGAGGATTTTCTCATCATCTTCTTGGAGGGACTTGGCTTTTGATAGGATATATCTCTGAGGCAACTTCATACATGAAGCATAAATTCCAAAACTGGAAAGTCGAGATTTCACCCAAATAGACATGATGACCCTGTCACTAACTATGGTGTTACTATAGAGAGAAAAAGATAAAGACCATGAAAGTTTTTGATAAGAAAATTTCGTTTGATATAGAATTTACAGGACAACACGATTTAAAAATAAAAATTAAACATTTTCAAATAGTTTTGGTTTACGAGGTTAAGTCATGTGGATCTCTTCAAAGCATCGAATAATCATAATGTTTGTCACCAACAAATCACTTCGTATCATGAAAACAGCAACACGGTAAAAATAATTAGTACAACGTTCAGCTCTCAGCAAGTATTTCTTTTAACTACAGCCAGTTAACGACAGTAGGTAGAAACGTAAACACAACACAATGATTCTACTCATGTCTGTCTATGTCTTCTGCTTGGAATCTTACTTACGTTTAAATTTCTCATAGGAAAAATGGATGTATAGCAACAAAAATAAAAACAGTTTCACTTCGCTTCTCTCATGAAAACTACACTTTAAACTTTCTTTTAATAATAATGCAGCTGTGTATGCAGTTTTTCCTATTCTTCCCACCAGCTTCCACTCTTTAGTTATTTTTGTTAACTTAGGTTCTCAAGTTCTCAAGAAGTGGTAGCCATGACTATGAAAAATCCTCACATACATACACACACGCGCAGCCAGCCACTGTTTGGAGTTGGAGGGCTTGAGTGTGTGTGATGCTTTGCGGCATCTGCCGCCGAAATGTGATTTTGGCTGTATTTTTGTGTTTTTTGAGTAATTAGACTCCTAATTGTGCCTCTTAATGACCTACCACTATGGATTGGAGAGAGTCTGTCAACTGCCAGAACTGTGTAACTTTAAACAAGGTAAGTTTCTGTCGGACGGCGTGCCACTGGTGTTTGATTTGTTGTTCATTTATGTCCCTCTAGGATACTTAAAAGACTTGAGGTTCATGGACTTCGTCCTTTCTTAAATATATCGACATTTCTGCCTACTCCATTCTTAAGTTGCTTCATGAATTAACTAGTGTCTAGCGTAAACACTTGCCGGTTAAAGACTAGCGTTGATAGTACGTTTGGAGCACGCTTGTCTCTTTCATTACTTAAAGCTTCTTTCATTCAAGTAATATTACCCCAAATTGTCACTTCATCTTTGAACTTTATCAATTTTGAGTTATATCAATTCTCTGGGCATCAATATACGCCCATTACAAAGATCAGTTTTTGTTCAGGTTATGTTCCTAACCTAACTTTATTCTTAAGATTGCACTTTAATCGTTCATTTACCAAAAACGCAACAATACTATTCTTCGTGTTTTTTGTTTATGTATGTTTGTGCATGAGTGTGTGTGTGTGAGAGAGATAGATTCATGGTTTATGCGTGTTAGAGCTTAATTGTTCTGTGTCTTTCAATTTTTATTGAATTTTTATCTTTTCCATATTTGTGATTTCAGAAATTGGAGCTGTTTGACCTCTTAAAGCAGAAATGTTGTAAGAATGAGTAAGTTGTCAGAAATATAATTTTCTTTTGTCTTCTTTTAATTTAGTATCATGAATTGCAGCAGATCTTTTAACTTTACTTTAATAATTTTGCAGCGATATTATCAAGAACTTGCTGTCCTTAAAGAAAGCATATGAAAAATCCACCAAAGTCCTTGAGAGTAAATCCAAGAAGCTGGTAGAAGTGAGAAATAAGCTCGAAGATGCTGGGAAAACTGAAGAAAATCTCAAAAGAAAACTTGCAGAGTTCCAGTTGCGCTTAGTTTCTTCTGACACCAAATACCAAGAAGTCCTGAAGGATATTGAAAATGAACAAGAGAAATTTATTTCTCTCACTAAGGTAAAATGTTTCAATCTGATTTTTCGACTTTCCACCTTTATTGAAGTATTGCATGCACAATTTTGAATGTAGATTTTTCCTTATCCACCCCCTGTGAATTAACCTTTTGTAATTTTATTTTTGTTATCTTGTCAGGCTAAAGGCCAATTGGAAGACATACTTCAATCAAAGGAAAATGAGCTGGCCTCGCTGGTTTTAATTTCTAAACAGTCTGAAGAACGCCATGGCAATGAAATAGAAAATTTAAAGTCAGAACTAGCTAAAATTCAAGGTGAGCTTTGCTTCTCAATTCCAATGTTCTATGTTACAGAAAATTTTTCTATTTAAATTTGCAATTATCTTATCTATTGATTATTATATATCTGGTGCCTTTATGTTCTACAGTGGATGGAGTAAAATTTAAAGAACATCGCCAGAATACCAAGAAGTTAGAGAAACTTGAAGAACAATTACATCTGATATTTAAAGGTGGTCTTGAACCAAGTAAAGGTAAGCTGTGCTTGTAATTTTACTTATATAGTTGATTTTACGCTGCACCCCAAATTTTACAGGGGGGTCACAGGGAGAACTTCCCAAAGATCCCTGCAAATTGGGTACTTGATTTTAAGCCGCACCCCATCTTCCAATTTTTAGAATCTAAAACAAAAATTAATCAGAGAATAGGGTGTTATTTTTAATCAATTAAATATGGTCTATTGTATGAAACATTTGATAACTTTTGGTATCTTCACTGTTGTGTGTCCAACAGAAAACCTCACCAAATTAAAGAGAATAATAAATAGAATAAGTGCCAAAGTGGATGCGAGGAAATTAGAGGTTGAACTTAATTCCCCATCCTTGACACCGGACGGCACTCCGAGCTTAGATACAGGCATTTTTTCGGAAGATGAAGATTTTGCAAATCCATCTCTTGGTAAGTGATGTCAGGCCACCTTATTTAATATATGACCTGTGTATTTTATGTACTGTCTGAAATATGGTCCTACTCCTAAGATGAACATTGAATTACTCCTGAAAAAATTAGAATGAGAAGCTACAATTTTGAGTTTGACTGTCTCATTTTTTATTTCTCTTTTGCAGCAGATGATTTGAATGTAACTTCTGATAGTGATGACGACTTTGAGGATGTCGAGCAAACAATGAAACAAGACTCATTTTTGTCCACTGATATTCAGAAAGTCCAGAACCTTGGTAGTATTCATCTAACAAGTCCATTGCCCCTAAAGCCCAATTGTGATAACAGTACTTCCCGGGGCAGCAAAGTAACTCCAAGTCCATCAAAAAATGACTTTGCCTGTAATACAAACGTACCCAATTCAAGTGGTTTGGTTGGCAGTCCTCTGGGACAGTTTACGAACACGTGTGTCTCTAATGAGACTGATAGCAATATTCAGACTAAGCCAGCATCTCAGGATGAAAAATATTTATCTCCTGTTATGGAATCGAGTGAAACCCTTCCTGATTTATTGTTGTCTGAACCAGTTGACGAATTAGATGTAAGTTTGAAAATTCCCTGTGCTAGTCCAGCTCAAAACCTTGCACATTCTCTAATGCCTGAAGAGAGCAATGCTCAAATTTCAAATGTTCCGAATTTAGAAGAAATCATTTTTCAAAGGGAATCTTCAGACACCTTGCATCAAGAATTGGAAATTTCCATCAACAGTCCCTTGAAAGCTCCTGCTGCTTCTGATCTTGCTCAAACGGTGGAAGGAAGAAACTTAAAAATTGTTGAGCGAGTAGATGAAAATAGAGGTTTTATTTCAGAAGATCACACCACTGGATTTCAAAATGACTCATGTCACTCGAAAAGCCCGAAGGGAAATCCTTCAGAAGATTCTGATAGTTCCCCACTCGCTCAACAGTCATCAGAAAGTAATAGCAAAGGCTTGGAGGAAATCAGTGAGGAAAGAAATCTCTCAATTACTCAATTGGAAGATACCTCATCTCAAGATTTGAGAAGCTCTGTGGTATCTACTGTTCCTTCCCTTGAGCATCTATTAGAAGAAGAAAAAGCTGAAAATGTTGAGTCTGTTAGTAAACACCAGGATGCTTCAGAATTTCCTTCTACCAAGGAGGAAAGCTCAGTTCGAGGTCTTACAAGCCCCAGAAGTAGTCCTTTGAAAGATTTTGTTGCCCTTTCAATCTCACAAAAGAGCAGTGATTTGTTTCTGAAATCTACCTCAACTACAGGCATCTCTTCTAGTGTATCATCCGACCTCTTATGTCAAAGTTTGGCTAACATTGTTAAAAGAGCTCAAGATCCAGTCCAAATCTGTGATGGAAGCTTTGAGGAACTGAATACTAGACCAAGAAACAACGAATTAGAGTTGGCTTCAACTACCCAGCCAAAGTGTACCAGTTCATCAATTGTAAACGGTGAAACTTATGATCCTGTTTTGTGTACAGAAACGTCTCGTTCTCCCTCAAAATCTTTATCTACAAGTAATCTGATTGATGAAAATTACAAAGTAATGGAAGATACAAAGGTAAGTTTTCTTGAAAAGAAAATTACAATTATTTTTCTGTCAATAAGCGTTTTAATAGAAGTGATGAATTTTCAAACATTTTCATTTTTTAAAATTCAGGATCCTGAATCAACTTTCTTTGACTCGATGTTAGATGAGTGGAAATCCACTGAGCCAATTTTACCCTTCTCTGATGATTCATGTGGTTTCGATGGTAAGCAGATACATTTCACTGATCAACATATTTTTGAATCTAACCACCATATACATATGAATTTAAGTAGCACCCGAATATAAGCCGCACCCCAGTTTTGGAGCCGACAAATCGTGAAAAGTCGTTTCATTACGACATTAAGCCGCGGCCACTAGATGAGTAATCTACGCGACTGAGTCGCACGGGTCATTCATGTGCAGTCCCGTCTAGTTCCGTTTGGCTGTTTTTGCTGTCAGAGTGACCCCCCCGCCCCACGTTCACCAGTTTTACATGTCTTGCGCGGTAGTTCCCTCCCTTCCCAGTCACCCTCATGACAGCAGAACTGCGATCGTAGCGGCCACAGTTAGTTTTCCACGGAACCACAGGCTTTCCATTATCAAACGAGCGATTTTGGTCAAAAAATTAACTTTCGGTGCGAATTTAAGCCGCACACGAATATAAGCCGCACTCCACTTTTAGAGCTCCAAAAATCGGGGCAAAGGTGCAGCTTAAATTCACGTGTATACGGTAATAGTGTCCCGTCTACCCTGTTCTGTTATTTCACATAACTCCTTGTTTTCACTTGGTCAATTTTTGTTTTGTGACAGATGAGAGCTTGTCAGCAAGCAATGGACAACTTGATTATGCACCTTCAAGCGAAGAATCAAACCCTTGTGAACTAGCCAATGAAAGATCTGTCAAATCCACAGCTACAAACACAGAAGAAATTTGTCTCATCTCAGTGGCTTCAAGTCCTATTGCCAAGTTCAAGGGTCAAAGTTCACCAGATAGTTCTTTTACATTTTTATCAGGAAATCATAGCAAGGAATCTGGCATTTCTACTCTATGGTCCAGAATGGACAAAGCTGTTAGTCCAATGAGGAAGAATTTCAGAGATGTTGGTGTGATGCCAATCAAGGAGCTAAGGAAGGATGTTGCCATAAGTCCGTTGAAAATAAGTGCTAACAGTGCTGGAACAAGTCCTATGAGAGGTGTTTTCAAAGATAGTGCTGTTAGTCCTATCAGAGTAAAGGGAATAGATGTGGTTAGTGGTTCAGTGACTGTGGACAAAAGCACACAAGTTAACTTAAATCCCAAAGAAATTTCACAAGATTTAGAAGAGAAAATGCAGCCACCAGAATGGTCACAAGATGTGAAATTGCTGCGTCAAACTTTGGAGGCACTCGACCTTGATTCAGGAGATTTAGCTAGTGTTGTTACAGATGAAAACTTAGTTAAAGAGATTAAGAAGATGCTGGAAATGGCTTTTAAAAAATCTTGTCACAGTATGAGCTTTCCTTCAAGAGAACCTGAGTTTCAATATGAAAGAGACAGATTTTGCCAGTACAAATTTTGTGAGTTTGCAGAAATATGTAATCAGCAACATAGGAATCTACATTTACTAGCCAAATCAAAACATTTAGAGAAAAAAATGTGTAGCTCTGGTAAATCTGAGAAATACAAAGTCAAGAGGCTGAAACGTATAAAACCAAAGAAGATTAAAAACATAAAATTCACAGAAGAGACATTTAATGACAAAAAGACACAATTTTGTGGTATTGTTTCAGTAGGACAGATTCATGAAAACTTGGAGAGCCCGAATCATGCCTCTAAACATTCAATATCACAAAAATGCTCGTTTTCACAGCTTGGAACCAGTGCAGAAACGCCAGTAGCTTTGTTCAAAAGTACTGAAAATCAAACTTCTGATGAGAACCCTGAACTTGGGTTAAATTCACAACTTTCTATGTCACAGAACCAAATTGAGCCGTCTTCCAGTTGCCTCAGGACAGCCAAGAGCTTAAATAACAGTGATGGCAAGGGAAAATCATCTTCATTTGATTCTTCCTTATCGTCGGATGAAGGAAAGCTTTGTGAAATTGACAATACTCATAGTCCAGCGACATTAAAAACCACTTCTACTGGTTGTGGGAAAGAAATTGAATGTGAGGGAACTCCTAACAAAGAAGAAGAAGACATTGGCTGTGCTATCAAGAATGACAATCACAAATCCACCTCTTCTCTTCATTTACACAATGATAACTCTTTGAGCAAGACATCTCGTAAGCGGGCGTCAACACTAAGTGAAAGCAGTTGTACAAGTGTTGGAGAATGTGAGGCCTCTGATGGCAAAACTGGAGCCCCTATTCGTCGATCTCCAAGAATTAAAAAAATAAGAGTTGCACACAACTTTGACTCTGGAAGCAGATATTCATACCAAAAGGGTTATGTAAAATTTGTGAAGGGCGAAACTGTTTTTGTTAGTAATGAATCTGAAACATTGAATGGCCCTCAAAAATTGAAGAGTAACTTAGCTGAGGGAGAAATCAACAACCTTAACTTGAGGGTTGAGGAAAATTTTTCAGAACCATTGCTTACTTCCAGTAGCTTAAGTACACCAGATATCAGCCTGACTAGAAGTGAAACAAAAGGGAACGGTGAAAGTAGATCTCCTATTTCTCATGCTTTTGAAAAGAAAATTAAGAATTCAAATTTAAAGGCAGGCAATGGTACTAAAAGGACCGCAGAAGACCAAGTGAAGGTGGCTGAAAACAGATTAAAACGTCACAAACAGTCAAGTCCCAAAATGTCCTCAGACGAAATAGATGACACTGACGATGATAGGCTTGTTATTTCTTATGAAGCTGATGATAATGAACAAGACAAGGTCATTTTTAATGATGATTCCCATCATGAAAAGCACAGGGACAATTGTGTGTCAGTGAATCTCACTTCAACTGATATTGTGGAGAGAAACTTGGGAGATCTGAGTGGGACAGTCTCCTCAGGAAGTGGAAGCAGAAGTACAGTTTTTGATGACACAATGGTTTTACCCACTGTCTCACAAGGTCGGCCAAAAGTTGCCTCTGGCAAACCATCAAAGCTCCAGCGACTGAGATCCTCAGTGAGCAAAGTTCATCCTTTAGCACAAACAAGCAGAGGATCCAGATGTAGTGAAGAGGCAGAGGATGGTTCACAGGTCAATGAAAGAATGAAGAAGATTCATTCTGGCTCTGCTTCAAAAGATGACCAAGTAAAGTTACGAGCAGATATTCTAGAAAAGCTTAAAGGCAGAGAGAGTGTAAGGATGGCTGCCGCTGCATCAGGGCGTACTGCTCAACTTATTGAACTAAACTCTGTAAATTCTGTCAGACAGAAGACCCCAGTGGCTCGGTGCTCATTAGGTATGTAATTCAACTCTACAAGGGAACAATTTTCTTATTTTTTGTTGTTGTTACTATTATAATGTTTCAAGCATATGTTCATTACAATACTAGGTTGTTACAATTATACATTTTTTCCAGCTCTCGGCCCCGTTAAACCTGTAAAGAAAACAACCTCAGTTCAGCCACTTGTAAGACCAGAGGACCGCTTACTGTGTACTGAAAACTCCCTACCACTTAAGAATAGAAAATGCAGCATACGACCAAAGAAAACATCTGCACTTGTTGAAGAAAATCCACCAGAGGAGACTTTCATTACGAAAGATATTCAGCAATCATCTTTCTTAATCACTGATGATATTGATTTTTGCATAACTAATCTAGGACCACTAGCATATGCTATAAATGATCGCCAGATTTGCGAGACTCCTCATTGTAACAATAAAAATGGTATGCAGCTAGAGGGTACCTTTTCTAATGATAACATATAAATTGAATTTTTTTAATACAATTTCTTATTAAAATCGACAGGACTAAAAAATACGGAACAACTGGTTCGGGAAACCCTGAAGAATTTGGTGGCTGCAACATCATTTACACCTGATGTATTACAAAGAGCAATTGATGCTCTTTCTAACCCGGATTTGGAAAATGTGCTAATAGTTTTAGTTAGGTAAGTATAAAAGTGAGCCAGTTGATATTACTGTAGTTAATAAGCTTCTTTGCTTTTTTAATTATCTTAATTTTGTCAATTTAGGGATGTTGTTAAGATGATGGATGACGACTATGATACACCTCCTTTACGCAGTGGAAAGCAAGAAGTGTTTGCGCCACCACTTACACCTGTACAGCAGCAGCTATTGACTCTAGTTCTTCAGCTTTCTTTTCAACATCAGCATCTAAAACAGTTGCCTCATGAAATTCTGAGACTCTTAGAGTATCGGATGTTTAGACTCGGAAAAGCTCCGGAGGTTTGTTATTTGTTTTGAAACTATATCAATCTTTAGTGGAGTGTATTTCAACTAATTTTTCATTCTGATTTTAGGGACCGCGATTACAGTGGTGCTCAAGTTTCTATGCCTCAATTTGTCGTGTTTTATGTTTGCGATCTGAAGCTCTTATATTTTGTTGGGATGCTCTTTATACCCTAAGAGGTCGATCTTATGATGTTGTCAAAGTTGTAATGGACGTATGGCCTCATTTGTTTCCTATTAATCCCAATTTTGAGAAAGGTATGCTTACATTTGCTGAATTTAGTTTTCTTCATGTTCTGAATAAATATAATTTACTATCTTTTATTTTTCTTAGCATGCCCGAATGCTCAAGTCATGCTTCATTTACTCAAATGTCATGTTGAAAAACCACCTGGAGTCCAACAGTCAAACAAATTTGACAATAGCTGGTTGAAACGTATGTTGAGATGCACAGGGCTACAATCCACTAGCATTAATTCAACATTATTATCATCAAGGATATTTTCTAGTTTGATTGGTAAGCAAACTATGTATATTTTTGTACATATTGAAAACCTACATTTTGTGTTTAGTTTGAGAACTTGTGGAGACCAACAGTTCTATTTTCTTGCACAGATGGAAAACTTGATACAAATGTGGCAGCAATGGTACTGCTTGCCAAGCGCGAAGAAGAACAATGGACTATGAAGAATGTTATTAGTGGGAACTTCTTGCCAGCACTGGCAAAATGGCAGGCCAGATTGCTTGATGATGTAGCTGGAGAACGAGTTATCTGGACCATGTGTTAGTAAAAATTTATGCACTGTTTACACTTGAGTAATATAATTAGTTTTACCATGCCAACTTACTTAAATTTTTGTTTCAGGTTCTATTCTGAGAGCTCTGCCTCCTGAACGAAATGGCGATACGTCACAATCTGTGTTGAAACTCCTAACAGGTGAACTTCTTCAGAAGGATAATAGATCATGTAAGTTTTGTGTTTTGACCTCAAGTTATTTGGATTAATTTAAGCTACGATATATCTGTCAGGAAAGAATAGTATTACCTCTAAATCAAGCTGAGATGATATTGTGTGTGTAACATTTTAATCTATTTGTTTCAGTAACAGTTCAAATGCAGGAGGTTATTGCGATTGGCTTGGCTCTTCTCTCTAAACATGACATTGAGTCTGTGGCTCACTCGTTACTTTTATGGAATCCCAGCCACGGTTCATCAAAAGGCTACTCATTGCGTCTACTTCAGTATCTCTCTTCAATCATCAACAGTGGAAGTCGTCCACGGTCTTGGTGGCAAAGTCGATTAAACCAACGTCCCAAATTGGGGGAAGAGTAAATGCTTTTCAAAAACAGTCAACATAGTCATCAAAAAGATTTTAAATTTTAACATAGGCTTCCTAATCATGTCCTTACCTTATTATGTTTGTTTTTATGGCTTATACATAAAGTACTGTTTCATTTTTTTTTAATTCAATGAAAAAAGCCATTGTTTTCCCACCATCATTATTAGTGCATTAAAATGTGCTGACCTTCACCCCATTGTGCAACAGTATGTGTTCCAAGCTTTATGTGATTGATGTGATCTCTTTTGTTTAAGATAATTAAAATTATTTGTCAAATTTTAAAGGCATTGTTTAATTGTCAAGCAACAAGTTGTTACAGCGCCATCTCAATCCAACGGGTTACGTGACGTAGATGAACCGACCGCAGCGCGCACGACACAGTTGAAAACCCACAAACTTGCTCAAACTAGCTCCAGGTTTTGCGGGAGAAAATGCAGTACCCGGCCCATGGGAAAGGAAGGACGTAACTCATCTGTGTTGGCACGGCGCACGGCGGTACGAGAATTAGACTGGTAAAGAGTGGATGCTGCCCGGCCCATCCCATTATCTTTTAAACAGACGCCAAGCCAATACCGTCTCTACCGGCTCTTTTCCCTCCCGCGGGCCTCAGGAGTGCTTGTGCTTTCATGAGGCGGCGAGCTGGTGGTCTTTCTATTTTCGACTAAAGTCCGACGAGCACAGTAGGGATATTGGCCAAAAGTTCAAAAACAGATTAATGCCAGGGCCACATTCAGCAAAGTCCTCCGTGATGCATATCCTAATGGTCTTCACCTATCGTCATTGAATCCCTAATGTTTCAGTTCATGACACTATTAACTTCCCATTGCAAAGTTCCAGGGTTATCTTCTTTCCTTCAAATTTGATACAGTGAACAGGATACCACAATTAATGAATGGGTAACTCATAACATTTTATTGAAGTATACTCTTACACAGTTAGGCCTACAGTAGCGAGCAAGTATGAAAACACAGGGTTCAAGAAAAATCAATCTGATCTGACAAGCTGGTCTGGTACCAACTACAAGTGTAGCACAGGTTTGTACAAAATGGCCAGACAAATAAAGACCAGCAAACTATGTCACTGGTGTGCTAGACAAGATTAGCACCAACAATATACCTTTTCTCTTAATAGTTAATGTTTGTTTTTGAATTCAATGTGTATTTTGAGGAATTTCTCACAGCCACACTCCATTTAAATGTGATATGAAAAACAAGAAAAAAAGAACAAGATTGATGTTAGTAACAAGGGATTAAAATTACTGTCGGCTAAAAAATGCAACTGTTGAGGACTCCAGGGTACACAAACATATTGCAAACTGCATATATGTTACGGTCCAACCGTATATACCAGAGCAACAATGGTAACATTTACACCAACTATTCAAACAAGGTGTCTCAAAGAGCAGCACTCAACAGTGCTTGTTCCCAGTTGTTTCTTTCTCTTTTTTCACATCACATTTTATAAAAAAATACAGATTTGGAGGAAACTGCTTTAGCATACGCCAATTCTCTACGTCAAAGAGTGACATGAGTTCGGAAGTTAAAAGACATGAATGACAAAATAGAACAAAAGTAAAAAGTATGTAGGGCTGTAGACCGCCATGTCTTCTGATGTAAGGAACATAATACTGGTAAGTTAAATTTATGTACGCTCAATTCCAGCTTTATACTGCACAAATGTTGGAGATGAATTAGATTTAAAATGTGGACTGATAGAATGCTCCAATTATTTTTCACAGTAGCTGAACGCAGAATCCTGACCAACATGTGATTCATTAACTAAGTACGTGAAACCAACACACAACAAACTAAAGGTACAATCTGTAGATGGCATCAACCACAAAATGGGAATATTTGAATGCCTTAGATCAGGGAAAGATAGAAATGTTATGAAGCCTATAGCATTGATTTGAATGACTAGCTATAAAGAATGCTGTCCACTACTTTCTATATAATCTCACCACACGTTTGTTCCATTATAATTCTTAGAGAAATTCTTCTTCATAATTCAGTAACTATGTATTTTTTTTCAATAAATAAATCAATAACCATTTTAATTTCTGATGGAGTAATACAACTCAAATAGAGATAAATTCTTTAAATAAAGGCTTTGAAGGCTAAAAGAAATGCATATACACCAGGAATATAACTTTTCAGTTTGTACAATTATACTTATTTCCTTATAATTGGACAAATAAAAATACACAGAACTATTAAGGCTACGCCAAGACGTACCGTAGTTTCCGCTGTAGGAGCCGACATTTTTTTGACCGATTTCGAGAGCCTCAAACAGCAACTTGTGACTTTAATGACATTTTGACATATCCAGAAACGCGGGTCGGCTTATACGGCGGAAATTTAATATGGAAGAGATGCAAAAACACCTTGCACCCCTTTCTTTTCTGAGACCAGCATTAGCTCAATCTAAACCAAACTTGAACTTATCAATTTTCTAAAAAGTTACTATAATAAATGGATAGATACATTTAATGTTAACTTGTTCTAAAATACATCACAAAAAAAAGGAGGAGGAAACATTACAGCTCATTAGCTGTGAGAATTTAATGGAGATGTGCCTAGTTAGGTAACATGGAACCTTGATATCCCAAAACACCAGAAAATGGACAGAAAACACCTGCCCAAAGGTTGAAATGAACACAGGTGTGCTAAGGGTAAGAAAACAAGATGGTACATAAGCCCCTGGCTGAAGGAAAGTTTGAACATGCATCAGAATACAATGAGAAGCTGCAGGCTTAACCACTGTAACTGAACACAAATTTTCTGAAAGATGTTTTGTGTGTTTTAAGCACAGACAACATTCAGATTCAGATATTATTCTATATTCAGTCTTAACATTGTCATTAATGTAGATTACACAGGGTTCATTCTTAAAATCCTGAACTGAAGTATATTTTAAAAGAGTTGTTTCAAGACAATGGCAATCTTCCCTATCTCTTTCGTACTATGTACTTCCATTACAATAATAATCTAAAGCATACCGACCTCATCAAAAAGGCCCTTTAACATTTGCTTAGTTCACCCAACAGAGGCACTTAAAGTGGCACCATTAGAAATGGACCCCAAAGCTACTATGAACCTATTTCTAGTTTTCTTGTTTTTAATAAAAAATACCTCAATCTAAAAGATGACAAGAGGGCAAAAGCTTAGGACAAGCTAGAGATTTAAAAAAAAAAGAAAAAAAAGAACATTTGCAATGAAGCACTGACAAAACCCTCAACCACCTTATATTCAGTCTCAAAAGAAATAAAGAAAAACAATGATCTACTCCCGTTAACACTCAGCTAGCAAACTCAGTCTCGGGAATGGTGGACCAGCTGTTCTGTCAGATAACAGACAGGAAATACAGTCAAAAGTCTAACAGATGAGCTCTGGAGTTAATCCCCTCAGTCATGCATTGTTAAGGAAACAGCTTAAAAGCCGTCTTAATTTGCATCACAGGTTGAGGATGAGAGAATGACAATCATACTTGTTGAACAAGCCACTTTGTCATTCTCACCTCCTCCCCCTTATAAATCACAAATATTACTTACATGGACAAATATGTAAATATTTTAAGTCCCAATAGAGCAGGGACAGGAGAAAAAAACTAAATCAAATTTAACAATAAAGAAACTACTGTAAATTTAACTTTGTATATGAGTCGGGGGCTGTTTTACCTTTCAGTAGAACAGGCAAGAACTACACATGATTTAACTTCTTCAGCATGGCCAAAAGGCCTATTAAGAGTGCCTAGACAAGGCTGATGTTTTTGGATGAAAGTGCATTTCAAACCAAATTACCAATTTTTTAAAAATGAAATAAACAAAACAATGCTATCAAGGAAAATTTACATTGGCTAAAACTTACCTTGATAAGTTCCACAACCATAAATTGTAGAGCAATGAAAGTAATTATAAGATGTACAAAGAGAATAGTAATATTTCAAAATAAACACATTGCACAAAAAATTTTAAAAAAGAAAATTGTTAGTAGAAAAAACAAAACAAAAATCTACAATGTAAGGTAATTATTTTATACCATGAAAAAACAGAAGAAAAAGGGGCCAAAAAAGAAAAAGTCAAAGGGGGAAAAAATGCATGAAACCTGGAAGGTAGGCTGGCACAGTAGGGTTGTCAAAAACTTAGGTAATTGATACCAACATAGAAATCTTTAGCTTTATGAGAAATCGTCATGTGGTGCGATAACTGATGAGGAACATTTACATAGCTTTGTAATTTTCTTATCCTTTAAGTGTTGAATTGCGAAGATTGCGAAACCTTGTGAGATACTTCTTGCTAATAGCATTGCTTTTCTTTCTAGCAGCTATATTCTCACCTGAAAATGAGACAAACAAGTGGGTTACAAAACTGTAGCTATTTAGACTTGATCGTTTATTCAAATATGTAGTTTATACAACTTACTGGTTGATAATTGTTTTGAGGGCAGCTTGTTTTTGCGAGGAGAAAGTTTGGAGGGTGCTCTGCGCTTTCTTTTGTTAGAAACTATTACAGGATTGACATAATCGATACTATCACTCTGATTACTATCTGAGTCACAGGACTGTCTTCTGACAGGATTTCTGTTTAAGGCTGGTCTATTGCGTAGACCTAATCTAGTGCAGCGCCCTTGAGTTAATTTCATATGGTATGGAGGTACATACGGAGGTGCATAACTTTCACTAGAACTTTCGTCACTTTCTGCATATTGGAAATTTAAGAAGTTGCCTTCCCTACGCCGAATGACATTTTCCATTGCAGGCGTCAACATGTTTGGGTTGTCAACAGGGCTGCTACAACGGCTACTGTGGACAAAGAAATGTGCATGAAACTTTCTCAATTCATTGATTGCTAGTAATTGGTAGTATGTCATTGGAAAATACCTGTCACTTTTAGATTTTCCTCTTAAGCTGTTTGTAGGACTTGCATTCCCTTTCTTCATACGCATCCTAGCAATCTGCTCCAACATGGCTGGTGTAGGATTTTTAAGACTTTCAGCATCAGTAGCCAGCTGAAGAGCGGTGGCAGGTGATAACAAGGAATCTTTAACAAGGTTACTAACAGGATCAAGACTTCCTGTCTCTTCAAGGAGAGCAGTTGCACTTATGAGTCTACTTCTTTTCAATTTATTCCTAAAACCAGAAAAGTCAATGTTAGTACAAAAGGCTATTGATTTAGACTGTTTTTCTGAAACAATAATTACTTTTTCAGTCTCTCAGCTTGAACTCTGAACTGCTTCTCAGGATCACTTAGAAGGACTTTCTCCCAACTAAATGGTTCTTGGGAACGTAACACTGGTTGGGTTGGTTGAGAACCTCTAGTCAATCTGTTGCTGTTCTGTTGAGCACATGGTTGTCTTGCACTACTGCGAGCTATCTTCCTAGGATTTCTTTTACCAACATTCTCTGGCTCTTCAGATGCTTTCCGCTAAAATTAAGGATGTAATATAAATGAATCTGAAGGTTCATGTAACAAAGCCAATGAAGAATAAAAAGTTAAAACATACCTTTCTATCTTTAGCCTTTACAACTTTGGGGAGAGAGGGTGCAGAATCAAATGTGATGACTCCACTGTAAGAGGATCCCAACTTACGAATTTCCTTACGAAACATTTGCTTGCACAAGGCATAGTCTGGTTTAGAGTCAAATTTTAAGCCACCAACATACTTTAGGTACCATTCAAGGACAGCTAAAACACATAAATTACGTTTCAGGTTAATAAGTAATGAGAAGGCAAGATGATAGTAAGGTATGACGATAACTTACATGGAGCATCATCATTTGGAAAACATAAGCGGAGAAAGTGGGGAATGTTATCCATACACTCCCGTTTCTGCTCAGCAACTTTCTCGGGATCACTTAAATCATCCTCCCAGGGCAGCCTGCTACAAACCCACTGTAGCATATTGTAGGCTAAAATTTCCATGTCGCCACGACGTGAGTGAGCTGCAACATAGCCACATAAGAAGTGTAGTCATAACAGTAATTAACAAAATAATTACAGCTGTGCAAGTGGCTTGTTTACCTCCAAAATGGGCATCTCTGGAAGTGTATTCAATGGTACCATCATGCGCCCTCCGATCATCTTGGCGATATTCTTTATGTTGACCAATGCGATCGACGTATTTTGAAGCTAAACCATAGTCCAATAAGTAGATGTGTCCATTTTGACTTGCACCAAAGCCTAGTAGAAGGTTTGAATCTTTGATGTCTGAATGACTATATCCATGAGAATGAATGTACTCCAAAATATCAAGCTAAAATGGTGGAAAACAAAGTTATAAAATATAATTAAGTATTTTGATAGCGAAACTTTGTTAAACGTTTGGAAGATAAAAACACTTACAATTTGAATTCCAATAGAAAGGGCAGTGCGAAGATGAAAGCGACGACCATGCTTTTCAAAAAGTTTGTGAAGGTCATTTCCAAAGCGTGGCAAAACAAGAAACCTATATCTTTCACCTTTATAGGTGTGAGATCCTGACCCACAATAACATGGCATACCTAACTGCTTCATTCTGCGTTCCTTCATCCACTTTTCAACTGTTACAAATAAAAAATAATAGCCAGAATAAATATAAGAAGTGGATAACAATAGACTTACAGGCATAGGGAATTCTCACTTACTCATTTCAGATTTTGCAACTCGCAAATAAAAGTTCATTTCAACAAATAACGGGCCATTTTTGTGAGGCTCCTGGAAAAAAAAACAAGACAATAAAAACCCTCATTTGGGCCCATAACACACAAGATACAATAAGATGCAAAAATCATGATGGACTAATACAACTTACCACTTTGATAACATGTTTAGAATCTATACCTGCAGGTTTCTTGATGTCGTCAGAAGCTGTAGAAAAAGTAAAACAAATGATGCATAGTGCAACAATGAAACATGGTACTTGGATTGAAAAATATCTTCTTACCTAGATAAATTTCTCCAAAGCCACCCAAGCCAATTGAACGGCCAAGCCGCCACTGTTTTTTGGTGACATCAGTAAATATCTCCCCTTCTCTAATAGGATCAGGAAGCCGATATCCATTTGGAGCAAATCGGGGCTCAGGTGGTGGACTTGTTACAGCAGAAGATGCAGCTTTCCTAGGCATCTTCTCTTATCACTGTAAAATTATACAGATTATTAATTACTGTGAACTTTGCAAACCTTACTCCTCACTTGCTCTGACAGCAGGAAAGTGTTCTGTGGACTGTCAGCTTAAAATAAAACCGAGTAGCTCCCATCCCACTGACTCCCTACAGACACTCTTGAGTCATGTTACAATAGAAGCAACAACCATGAAAGACAATGTCACCTTAAAGGTTAACAAACAAAAGAATAGTCTCTCTCTCTCCCCAAGGTTTGGTTTCAAAAATCTAGCCAAGGCCCTTGGGAGAAATGTGAAACTCTACTCAGAAAAACATTTTCAGCCTGATATTTCAAGGACACGTACACACTAAAAGAAATCAAGAGTCAAATTTAAACTTAATTTAAATAGAGTATGCACTACAGGGTCAATTTAGGGTTACATAAGAGTAGAGAGTAGAGAGTTCATGGATGATGTGATTTAAAGTATAATTTTGACAACTTAAGAAGAAATGTGGAAGAATGTGGAACCAAGTTAGAGCAAATTGTTCATTATAAGGTTAGAAACACCCACAAAAAACTGATTGTTGAAAAATATTCTAAAATCATGCACATATCATAAATAAGAAATAATCTACCAGATTCAATACAATTAATTTAACTGAGTATTTCACAATGTAGACCAGTAAAGAGAGGAAAAGTGAAAACATAAACCAATAATTTGTAATGGGATTATACAAAACCAAATGACACTGCAAATAATAATTTCATTTGGTTTGTGACAATTGACTTTAAGTATTTCAAAGGCATTCCGTACTCAATAGATAATAGTGTGATACACTAGAAAAAAAATGGCAGATACATGTACGTATTGATTGTGTCAGAACTTGTCATGGCCAAATTGCATACTTACTGTAAAGAAAAGTATGGCTGATGAAATGACATAAGAATCCAAACAACGAATGATCTGTCACCACGTTGGTCCACTATGGTTGCAAAGCAATCTCCACCAGAACAGTCTGTTGAGAGGAGAGATGGAGACACTTCAGAAGACTGACCATGGAAATCATCAATTATGCTTATCCCGTAAACAGCTAGAATTCGAGTTTGCAGATCAACCCCAGTTGTCTGCTCCCTATAGCAAAACTCAGATTATAAACAGTATTGGCGCAGGGGTGAATTCATAGTAAAAAATAACCTGTACTTCAAACAAACTGTGGCCTAGGTCGTTGAGCAGACCTCCTCCCCCCAAAAAAAATAGAAAAAGAAATACAACAAACACATGCACATCAAACTTGAGATAAGTCTATGCTTTAAACTGAAACTGGATCAGAACAGCCGTGGCTGCCTCGGGCATCAAACACGCATCAAATTTCCGGGGAAACCTATTACGACGGGGCACAAATCGAACTCGAGGCAATGGTCTAGGCAGATTTAATAATTTCCTCAGGGAGCACCTGCAGCACACGAACCTTCAAAACCATTCCGCTCCACACAAAACAAACCGCCTCCCTATCCCAACCCAAACTTTCCATTCCAAACACCCACCATTTTGATGGTAGTTAGAAGGGTATGACCTCCGATATGTATTTTCGATTGGTATATTTGCAGGTCCCCATGTAACAACTGTTGTTAGAGTAACGTGAAAAAGTGTTCGCAATGTGAGAATCAGACCTATTTATGGTTGTTGAGCCCAAAGGATCTGACTTCCAGCACTAAGTTGAACGCCCGCACGTAGGCCTTGTCATTTCCAGTCCGGAATTAAAATGTGCACAGGATCTACAGACTATGGTTGTACGTACATGATACTTCAGTAAATGTCGATTAAATGGCCAAGCCGTGAATTTGAAAACAATGCAGAAGTACTCACAAACAGTGCATTAAACAGCTTGTCTACATAACAATCATTGCCAATTTCTTCCTTTGAGAACATCTACTATCTACCGTCCAGCGTTGCCAAACTTCAATATTTTTACGTTAGTAGTTCACGTAGTATGAGAAATTAAAATAAATAATGGGAGAACTTTCAGCTAAAAGACTACACTAACAATCGAGCGCACTCTTAGAACGGCTTAAATATATTTTCAATTCTGGAAATGATAAATCAGTGGGAGTTTCAGCCGTTCCAAATTAAACCCAGAGCAAGAGCAAACGAAGAAGGAAAGGAGGAAGTGTCGAAACCGGACCGGAACCAGATCTGGACCTAGAACAAATTTGCATCGAATACGATGGTCTTGACACGCTTTGAGGGGAAATGACAGCTACTAATCATTCTGTTTAAAATGTGACTGCAACCGGTCCAGGTCCAAAATTTTCTTCAGTTTCACTAGGCTAGTTGCCGCTCCTAGCCATTATGAAAAGTTCAGCGTTACGTTAAGTCGAACCCCACCGCTGCCGCCGGAAGCGGTAAATAGTAGGAAAGCCGGAAAGCGCGGGAAACTTCCTTGTTTTCTTGTTTTTGTTGATGTTGTTGTTGGCCAGGGCAGGACAGAACCTGTGTTAAAGTGCGTTTTCTAAAGGAACACTCTAGTGCTATTGGTTATTTTATTGTTTAGAGTGATGTGTGTCGTGTCACCACCGTGTATGCGAGCCAGCAGCAGACCGATTCAAGATTACGTGATGACAACTGAGGCTGAGGAAATGAGGATTTACCCGACCTGTAAGTACGATAAAGAAACAGCAATGTAATTTGAAGTGATTATGTGGTACAGTACTGTACATGTAGAAAGTGAGACCAGTTTTCATCATCATCTATTAGAACTTGGATCCTCTAGGAACATTCGCCACTGTGTGCCTTTATCCTTTATTGTCTTGTCACCTCGCACTGTTTGTTTACCCCGGTCTATTATTTACCTTTGGTTTTCTTTACACTTAAATGGTCGATGTAGTCCCGTAAAAGCTGGTGAAGTTGAAGCCACGCCGTATTAATCTGATTGGTTATCAATCAACTAACCAGTGCACTCCAAACAAATGACGGGATAACTTCCCTGGCCTCGTAAAACTAAATTGACCATGTGATCTATCTTATTTTGTCGCATGTGGGATAGAAGAAGGAAGAAACCTAATATATAAAAAGGGTCAAGAAACAATTTTTGCTGCAAAGTAAACCTAGCTGATTTGGACGTCTATTTTGATTAATCAGTGAACTACTGGACATATAGTGTGCCAAGACTATACTTGGTGAGCAAAATTGTCAATAGTCCAGAAGGGGATAAGTCAACTTCAACTTTTCTAAGCTTCTGTTTCTAAAGAATCAAGTTCACTTCACTATCATTTTGTCCCTCACTTGAAATTTAAAGTTGAGTAATGACTGAAGCAGAACAGGGTCACAAATCTAAAGTCATTTTGGGGCCATTGATGTGGATTAAATGTCAATTATCATATTGATGTACCTGCAACTTGTTCCATGACTTCCTTCTCCCTTGGGTTGAGTAAACAGCTATATAAGAAGATTAAAATGTTGAGTCCCAGAGCAAATTAGAGGGGTGGTAGTTTCCAGCAAAACCTGACCACCAGGTGGCCAACGGCCACGTGGGACTCAAGATGATATGCCCTGGATATATTTTGTCCAAATGACGTCAGGTGAAGTCAAAAGTAAAATTTTGTCATTTTGGTGGCCACCAACTCCAACAGGATACCTTAATTTTGTTCCATAAAAATTAAA